AAAATGTACCGATAAATATATATATAAATAAATGAAAAAAATGAAGAAGTAGAAATGACAAATAAATATGTGAAAATTGTTCAACATCACTGGTCATTCAAGTAATGCAAATTAAAACAACTCTGGTATTCCATCGGACTCCAGAAAGAAAGGCTGTTATCAAGAAGTCAGCCTGGAGATTTAGCTCAGTGGTACCGTGCCTGCCTCACAAAAACAAGGTCCTGAGTTTGATCCCCAGTACCAAAAAAATACTGGAGGGGCTGTGGGAAAAAAGGAACCCTTCTCCACTCCTGGGGGGAGTGTAGACTGGTGAAACCACTGTCGAAATCAGTGTGAAGATGTCTCAAAAAGCTAAAAGTAGAGGGTCCATTTGACTCATCTATTTCCTTTAGTGGCCTTTCTGAAAGAATTAAAAGCATCATACCACAGTGATATGTGCAACCCTGTTTACAGTGTAATAGCTAAGTCTGCTAATAGCTAAATCTTAGAAACAGCCCAAATGCCCATCAACCGATGAATGCATAAAGATGTTATTTTTTTAATACAATGGAGTACTACTGTGCCATAAAGAAGAATGAGCTTCAGACAGTTCTAGCTTAATGGATGTACCATGAGACTCCTAAGTGAAATAAGTCGGACACATATGTATAAATACTGCATTATTTCTCTGGTGTGAGAAACGGAAAGTGGAAATGAGTACTAAAATGTATAGTACACATTGGAAAATAGGAAGAAAATATTCAAATGCAAGGGGAAGAAGGGAGGAGGGAGAGAGAAAGGAAGGAAGGAAAGGAGAAAGTAGAAGGAAAAAGAAAAACAAAGCTTTTGTACATAGGGAAGGGTGGGGCACTGTATGGAGGGGAGGGATGGGGGGGGAAAGAGGTGGAATGTATTACATACAGATGCAAATTTCCTACAATGAGTGTTATCATTATGTATGCCTAAAAGGTACCTAGAAATGTTTTGCTATTAAAATATAGATACAACTCCAAGGAAAATGCAGGGGGCAATGAGGTGTAACAATTTGAAATCCATCCATCTGGACTGTTGGAAAGGGTAACAGACTAAGTAAAAAAGCAGATCAATAAGGCTTGAGAGAAAAATCAAAATAAAATCAGAAATAATTTCTCATAACTACCGAGATGGTGCCCTTACTAAAAGATATGGTTAGTGACTCTGGAGCAGATACAGATTGAAAAAACAAGAGAGGCACTTAAGAAAATTATGGAAACCATGAAGGCCTAACATAGAAAACAAATGGAATCCATGAAGCAGATTTAAACAGATATCCAGGATATCAAAAATTCCGTAGAAAATATACAAAGCTTAATGAGACATTGAACGTAAGGACAGAATAACTTTTCAGTCTCTTTTTTCAGGCTACTCTTTTTGTACCTCCTCTTTTTCAGACCACTCCTTTTTGTACCTCCTCTTTTACTTCCTTGATTATGTAAATTCTTAGAATTTCCTTTGTGTGAAGGTACTACGAATGGATGGTTTTCCTCAGTTCTTTCCAAGTTACATCTTACTGCACCAGAATTTTATTGATTTTGGTGTGTTTGTTTTATATCCTGTCACCTTACTGAATTCTTTTTTTATATTATTTGAGCTTATTAGTACATGTGTGTAGTACATAAAGGTTCCATTCCTTGTGGGAGGTTTGTACATGTACATAATACAGCTTAATGCTTTTTGCATCTCTTTTCCTTTCTCTCTCCCCATTTCCCCATCTCTTGATTGTTTCCTTTTTTGGTATACACTTGGCTTACAGAATATTTACAATCTTTATGCGGAGTTGGTACCTGTACATAGCACATCCAAATTCCTTTATCCCGTATCCCTTCGTTTCCTCTCCCTCCCTCCAACTCTTAATTCTGTTCCCTTTGAGAATAATCCATCTCCTTATTTCTTGTTATGTTGTATTTTGCTCTTTATTTTTGCTCTGGGGAAAAACTGGAAGCTTTCCTTCTGAAATTAGAAACAGGATAAGGTTATCCACTCTTCCCAATGTAGTCAACTTGCAATTGTAGCCAGAGTAATCATGGAAAAGAAAGAACTGAAAGGAAAGACAGAAGTCAAAATCTTGAAGATTTTTGGGTCTTCTAAGGGAAGGATGATGTCACCTGCAAAAAAGGATAATTGGATAATGTACTGGTGAGTGCTCCTATGAGATGTGACTGCATTGAATATATAACAATGCAAATTTGGATCTAATGGGCAAGTTTTCCAAGTTGCAACCTTTTGTAAGCAAAGTCAATAGACATATATCACATTTGTTCCAAATGAAACATTTCATTTGTGATCAAGCCACGGTCCTCATTTGGTTTGCAGAGGAGCAAACAATTTATTCTGGGAAAGCCCACTTAGTTTGGCTATAGGCTTTGGCGTGTGTCACAAGTCGGGTCTATATTTGCTGGTTTCAGTCATATCAGAGTAAAAACCCAAATACTAACCATGAGGAATACAGTGTCAGTGCACAACTTGTCCTTCAGTGTGTTGAGGAATTTACAGAGGCACACCCTAGATGATGCCATTTTGTATCTGATGACTTTTTTAGCAATATTAAACTTCTTGATAGCTCACTCCAATGGGGACATCAAGCAATAGGTACTATGAAAAAGGATCACATTGATAAAGATCCATTGGAATCACGTGTAGCTCTAAAGAAGAAACAAAGGGAAACATTTGATTATTGAATCGATGGAAAAGGCAATATTGTCTATAGATGGAGTAATAACAGTGTTGTCACTGTTGCCTCATCTGGTGCTGGTATTGATTCACTGTGTCATCAGTCAATACTCCAAGAAACTAAAAAATAAGATCAAAGTTTAGCAGCCAAACACCATCAAAGTGTATAACCAGTTCACGGGAGACATGGACACACTGGCATAAACTATTGGCATCTATCTGTGGAAAGAAATGATGTGAAAGAAAAATGAGACATTAAAGAGAAAAACAATGATAATCTGATTAAAGAGTAGTCCTTGAGGGGCACGTGTACTCTCTTCCAACTTTCTTTTTTGAGACCGGATCTTGCTATGTTCCCCAGGCTGGCTTGAACTCCTGCTGATCTTCCTACCTCAGCCTTTCAAGTGCCAAGATCACAGGCAGGGATTACCAGGCCTGGCTCTTCTAACATTGTATACACTTAAAAACATCACACACAGTGAAGTCTACTTAAAAATTTCCAAACTATGTCCATATATCCTTATCTTTGCACTTGTTATTGAAGGTCCCATTCAGGTCCTGAACTAAAACTCAAACACCAATTTATCTCAGTATGAGTAAATGATTAGTCAATATTCAAAATGTTTTCCTGATGAGTCAGATTATTCATTTCTAAATAATTTCTAGGACATTCTGTAGAAAATAAAGAGGGTTAGCTTTTAACTACAAACACTCAGCTCCTAGTACCTGCCACAGCTGAAACGCTACACCAGGCATAAGGAGCTCATCATCATGGCAGATGTCTATGGGTGGTTTGAAGGGATAGCATTCCCTCTAGCGTATTTCAACCTGGAAGTCTTAAGAGAAGCACGGGACACATTTGTGGTGAAGGATGAAGATATAATAATGGTGACTTATCCCAAATCAGGTAAGGAAAGGGGGTCATGAATGGTCATGAGAAAGGCTATGGCTGTGGGCTTCAGTCATCATGCTGATGCATGGAAAGCTGTCGCTATGCCAGCACTCATACAGTGCTTTGAGATGCAAGCAGCAGCACCTAATACCTTTTCAATTCAGAGAAAAGGATGCAGCCCAACAATTACAGACAGATGAGAGTTCAGAGGGAACATCTAAGACACCAGAGAAATGCAATGAAGGAATACAAAGGCAGAGTCTGACATGCAAATGAGTGCGGAGGTGGTAGAGGATGACAGTGGAAGTCAGGTGCCACTCAGAAGCCAAGGACAATGGAAAATTAGTAAAAGGGCTTCAGCAAATATTGAAAGGAGCCACTTAAACATCTATCGGCAGAAAACAAAAAGACACTCAAATATCCATTGCCAGATGGGTGCATAAACAAAATGTGAAATTTACACACAATGGAATAGCATGCCATGAAATAACAAAACTCTGACACATGCCACAACAAGGGGGAATCTTGAGGTAATTAATCTAAATGAAATAAGCCCATCACAAAAGGAGAACTGTTATATGATTCCACTTATGTGAAATACTTGCACCACTGAAATTCACAGAAACAGGAAGTAAAATGCTGCTTGCCATAGGATGTAAGGTGGAGTTACTAGGGAGTGGTTCATTGTGTAGACATTGCTTATTCTTAGACAAAAAATTTGGAACATTTATCAGCAATGGGAGTATACTAAACAATACTTGACACAGCTGTGACATGTGGGTAAAAATGGCTGCAATGTTCCATTCTATGTTGTGTATACTTCAACAATATTGTTTATACAACTGAAGTTGAAAGAAGTGACCATCACTCTTTTTTCTTTGTTCAGGAACCCACTGGTTGAGTGAGATTATCTGTCTGATTCATTCCAAAGGGGATCCCAAGTGGATCCAGTCAGTGCCCATCTGGGAACGTACACCCTGGATTGAGACTCAAATTGGATACAACTCATTGAAGGATAAGGAAGACCCACGCATTTGGACAACTCACCTACCCATTCAACTCTTCCCCAAGTCCTTTTTCAGTTCCAAGGCCAAGGTCAGCACCTAGTTCCTTTTTTTTTGGTACCCGGGATTGAACTCAGGAGCTTGCACTTTTGAGGCAGGCAGCTGCACCACTGAGCTAAATCCCTGGCCCTCAGTATCTAATTCTTGAGAAATGTTTGTTCACTTCTTTTAAAATTGCATGTGTAGGGATGGGGATTTAGCTCAGTGGTTCCACCACCTGCCTCTCAAGCACAAGGTTCAGAGTTCGATTCCAGGAACCAAAAAAAAAAAAAAAAGAAAAAACGAAAAAAAATTGCACGTGCCTAAATATAGCCTGGATATTTAGCTGAAAAGGATTCTCATTAGGTAGATCTAGGTGGGATCTGAGAATCTCTTGGATTAGTTGATGCTGATGTGCCTAACTCTCAGGCCATACTTGAATAAAAGTATGTGGACCATTCCACATACTATCTAGACCTATTTAAGGGCAAAGTGGAAGAATAAATCCAATATCTTAAACCCACATTTTAAGGCCAACCAGGATTTATGCCTTTATGGGACAGAATATTTCTCACATTTTGTTGCTGCATTGCAAGGTAATTGACCAATCTTGATCCTAAATTGCTCCGTGGATGTATGTGTAAACTTCCATATCTGAGTTGTCCACATGGGAAGCAGCAGGTTCAAATCTTGCCTAAGACCAAATGACTGATCTGGGGTCAAGCTTGGCTTTTCTAACCACTGTGTCTTACTGCATGTAGCTGTCTGCTGAGCTAAGCAGGCACTCAAGGGAAGGAAATGGGTATATCCAGATTCTAGCATCCAATGCACCATTTTTACAGAGATTATTTCCTGCATGGTACATAGTGTATTGTGAATTATAAATATTTTACTCAAACTATATTGAAAACCCTAGAAAATATCCCCTCATTAATAAAGGTCACAGTTGTTCAGCACAATGAAGTGTTCCAACGCAACTCTTGGCCTGAGAGTTTGGGATGTGGTGAATCCCTGCCTAAGAAAGGAAAGACTAAAGAGAGAGGGGCCAAAATAATGGAATGATGACCAAAAGGGAGTTATTGTGAAACGAGCCCATGTTCACTGCCGAGTGAACTTTGTGTATGGGGATGTGAGTATAAATACACGCTAATGTCAAATAATAATTTCACAAATACATAAGTACACAACTGGCAAACTGTCATCCACACAACATTGAGAACATTTCTGGCCCCAGAAAGTCTCCCTAATGAGTGAACAACCACGGAGGTAACCACTCTCCAGGCTTAATACTATGGATTACTTTGTTTGCTCTTAAATTTTGCATACATGGACCATCGTGTATGAATTGCGATGTCTGGCTTCTCTACTCACAGTAAAGTCCTTGAGGTTCATCTATGGCTTGGATATGTGTACAACTGTGCATTACTATGTGCCCATGAAAATAGCAGAATTTATTTATTGATTTTCCTGTTAGTGATCTTTTTAGTTAAGTACAGATTTATCATACTATTTACAGTTAACAACCTCTCAGTGAAGTCCTGCAATGCGTCGACAGATGTCTCAGGAGGAACACACATGCATTCCTCCTCTTTTATTATATTTCCATTACAGCAGCTAGTTCATAAAATGTTAAAATGTATATTTGATGAATGAGTGCGGTAAGTAATTCATTAATATAAGTCATGATATTTAATAGGCACTTTGTACAAATTACATGGATAAGAACAAAATCAGGTAGAAAATGACCCTCCTGATTTTTCACTTACTCATTTTTTCATTTAAGGTGATTTATGGCATTAGGAATCCCAGAGATGTTCTCGTGTCTGGTTATTTTTTCTGGAGGAAAATGAGTATTGCTCAACAAGCAGAGACACTGCAAGAATACATGGAATGGTTCCTCCAAGGAAACGGTGAGTGTGCTGTGGGGAAACTCACGGTCTTTCTCAGACGTCCCTGGACGCCTCTGACTCTCCACTTCTCAGCAGCCCGAGGCTCCCTCCTCCCTGGAGCACAGATCTGCTAAGGCCCCTGCTCTCCTGCACAGCACAGGGCTCCAGCCCACCCTCACCTTGCTCCCTCCTAACCATCCTATTTTCTGAGTCCCCATGGTGTGTAGTGCTGACACAAACTGCTCGTGCTTCTCCACTCTCCTAATTTATGCCTTTCAGGAGGGCAAACATTCGTTCACTTACCAGAACATAAAATCCTTTCCACCATTTCTCTAATAATGCTTCTTTCCAAAACTCTTACCATCTTCTCTATCCGTCTATAAAAAAGTATGACATCAGAAACTCTGTGAGTTTAAGGATTAGAATTTCTGGACTTTCTCAGGCATTTTTAATTTTGCAAATTTTCTCAAAACTATATGAAGATAGAACCAAATGTGGTAGAAAATGCCTGTTATCCCAGCACTCAGGAGACTGAGGCAGGAAGATCGCCACAAGTTCAAGGCCAGCCCAGGATATACATAGCAAGTTCAAGATCAGCCTGAACTACAAAGTGAGATCCTGGCTCCCCCCACCCCGCAATAAAAAAGAATTTTAAAAAATCATGTGAAGAGTTCTACATCTCCACTGTGGTTTGTCTCCAAAGCTCCATAAGGAAATATTCCCAGGATAGAGCCACAGGTTCACTTACACCAGTATTGTCACCAGATAGAGACCAAGGAATCTGCCCAAAGAGGAAGCAGCAGTCTTTTTTGTATTAAATTCTTTTATTGGTACATTGTAGGTATACAAAACAATTACACTTCTCATTGGGAATTGTACCTTTACATAATGCATCTTGGTTCTTATTTTTTCCCCATTCCTAGCCCTCCCTTCACCCCCTCCACCCTTC